GGCTCATTCCGATACTTGGCTTTCATGTCTGCGAGTCATGATGGCTACCGATGAATATCACGATCCACAAGAATCGATTGTGCTATAATACCATCTGATGCAATATAAAATTACAGCCACCAACAACTGGTAAAATAACCATGCTTTAAAGAGAGATATAAAATAAAAAAGAAAATCAATAGGAAAAAGGAACGAACGTGTGGATTCAAGTTGTCTGCTACAGCCCATAAGCACAAAAAGAGAAAAAATACCCACAAAGTGCCACTCTCTCTCTCTCTACCTGATCTGCAAATATCATATTTTTTTAATTCAATCAAAATCTCCCAATACATTACCGTTTTACCTTTTTTATACAACCAAAATATTATCCGTACTAACTAAAACATAAAGGTTTTTCTCTTGTAAGCCATCCTCTTTATAGGACCTACCCATCCCAAAAACAACTTAATCTTTTTAACAACATAATCTATTCCTACCAACTTACTAACTAAAGGCATCACCACCTTTTTAAAACAAAATTAAAAAAAAAGGACTCTAATAAATGCCTACTCAAGAATAGGACTTAATTTTTTCCCAAAAAAATTTGGACTCCTAAAAAAAGTACAGACCTACTAAAGAAGAACTGAAAAATAATTTTATATAAAACAAAAACCAAATTATCGCTGCTTCTTTTGACTGCGATCCGATAGCTTCAAGAAAAATCCAGCATGGATAATCTCGCTCCAAAAAATCTAACGCGATAATCTCAACTGCATCATTCACCCTCTAAAAATTGGATAGTTTCTATTCAATCTTGAGGTATCATATTTTTACGTGCTTTATAGGGTGCAATTAGGGAAAAAAAAGAAAATTATTGAGAATAATCTGTGTTAAAGAGGTTATATCCTCAACATTGAGGGTCCTAAAACAAATCGTAGGTGGGGTTTACCCAAGGGAGTAAATACACAGTATACACCCTAGGAGGTAGAATATCTTTTAGCTTATATTATTTGAAGGCATTTTTGTCAAGTTTTGGAATCTGTATAAGATAAGGATTGTGTTCTTTTAATAGAACGAAATTTCACATAGACAGGAGAGAGCGCACTTATTTGGGGAAGTTTTGCTGAAAAAAAAAAACTTCGTATTAAGGCTTTTCTTTTCCTTGAAATTTTTTACGATGAGTCGGGCCTAGAAACAGCAATTGTTTGAATCCTAAGTAAGAATATTCAACAATTTGTTTGATTGTTTGATTTATTATTAGTTACAAAAAAAAAAAAATTTTGTGGGTTTTGCAATAAAATCTTGTAGAGCCTTAAATCTATTGATTAAGTGTCCAAATCCAATAGTTATAATGTGGGGCTACTTTTCCGTGGCTGTTCATGTGAGAATTTTTTTTTTCTTTTTTTTTCTTTTTTTTTGTTGGGTTTTTTCATGCATCTCTCACGCTCTCTCTAAAACTCGTTGTTATTTTTTGCAAGCTAGACTTTTCTGTTTTTATATTTTTTACTTTTTTTTGGATAGTTGAATGAACTTTGAAGCTGATATTGTAAGAGATATTTTGATTTACAGATAATTAGATGGATCCTCCTACTAAGGATTTTCGTTACTGTTTATGCAATTTATTGTGCTGATTTTTGAAAATAGTGAAATACAGATTTAAAAGTTAAATTGTAAAATCTATTGAAAGATATCATAAATCATGGAATCATAGTTTACTCATTTTACTGTTTATAAGTCGAAGTCCTTTCACATGAACTATTTTTCGCGTAGATTGATTCGCTATTTGTTATATTTGTTTACTTGATTTATTTTCTATGTGAAAGTGAAACCGTAAGAAAAACACATTTTTGCATTTTGTTTTCTTCCTCTCGTTTTTTTCCTTTTTCTTTTTCTTTTCTTTTTTTTTTTGGGAAAAAGCCTGTGACAAAATTCGTTGCATCTAATTTTTGCATCATAAATGGATTCTTACTTATTTGCTTCATGGTTATTTTTGTTTTCTAATCATTTTTTCATATTTTATCTTTTGTACATAAGGTCATAATCATTCTTGTATCTTAAATTTCAAAATTGGTAGTTGTAAGAGTGTGATTGAATAGACACAAAGTTCCAAACAAACATTTTTAAGACCTCATAACTCACTCCAAGACATTCAATTTTGTAGGGTTCTCAGGAACCCTTAGCTAGCGGAATTGGCAATCCCAAATACCGGGATCCGACCCTAGATCGTGTACACAATTAGCGAAATGTGAAATAGATGAATATCAAGTGCAAGAAATATTACAAGCATAAAAAACAGACTGCAAACAACACATGATTTACGCGGTTCACCCTGTAAGGTACATTTACAGCCTTGGCAATAGAAATTCACTATCACAATGAAAATTACAGTTTTGGTTGCAAGAGATATACATCTCTCTAAACATCTATAAACATACATCACCGGTCATCATTTCTAAACTCGCTCTCCTGATTAAGCAACATCGTCGACCAATATCTTCTTTCCCACCACAATACCGCAACTGGAAAGATAACTTCGAGAGCAACCGAGAGATTTTATCCTCTAAAAGTGAAAACTAAATCAACTTAAAACCCCATGGGAATATTGTCTCTATCTCGGAGGCTTCCAAGTCTATCTCTATCTTGGAAACCCATCTCTATCTTGAAAATTCCTTCTCATAACCCCGAAAGGGGTGACGCTCAAAATGATAGGTATTATGTTTTCCTCGATTCTCTTTTATAGAGATCACCTTGAGCTTCTTTCTTGCTCCCCAATAAATCTCTTCTCTTTTTACCATAATATAGTTAATCTTTTAATGAAAATATAGGTATGGTGATTTTGACTATCACCAACTCTAACAATCTCCAACTTGATAGTGAAATCACTTATTTACCTTGTCGATCATTATTAAATAAATTTCATGATTTCTTTTAATTTATCTGTATTGTGGAATTTTCACAAACACTTTACCTCCATATTTTTCCACCTCAAATCATGTATCTATCGAACTTCACCATTCATCTTTTCCTTAGTGCAAGCCATAGCTCCGTACACACCTTATGCTCTGATACCAATTATAAGGTGCTCAGGAATCCCTAGCTTGTGGAACCGAGAATCTCAAATACCAGGATCTCACCCAAGATCATGTACACAATTGGCTAAATGCGAAATAGATTAATACAGCTATAAATCAAGTGTGATAAATAATGTAAATAGAAAAGGCACACCACAACAACACATGAGCTACGTGATTCACCCCATAGCGCTACATCTATGGTCTCGGCAAGTAGAAATCCACTATCACAATGAAAATTACAATTTTGGGTTACAAAAGATATATATCTCTTTAAACATCAGTAAAATCCCTCGTCGATCTTCCCTTCTAAACTCGCCCTTTCGACTGAGTAACACCGTCGATTAATATCTTCCTTTCCACTTGAACACTGCTACTGGAAAGATAACTTCGATAGCAACCGTGAGACCTCATCTCTCTAGAGGTGAAAACTAAATTAACCCAAAACTCCATAAGAATACTGACTCTCTCTCGGAGACCGTGTCTCTCTCTCTCTTGGAGACCCATCTCCCTCTTCGAGATCTCTTCCCATGACTCCAACGGCGTGACTCTCAAAATGATTAGTATTATGTTTTTCTTGATCTTTTTTTATAAAGAACACCTTGAGCTTCTTTCTTGCTCTGCAAGAAACCTCTTCTCTCTTTTACCATAATAATCTTAATCTTTAAATGAAAATATAGGTATGGTGATTTTGACTATTACCAAACTTAATAAATTTGACATCAAATGAGTGGACTTGGTTGTGACCTCCATGTACAAAAGATAAATGGTCTCTTTGTAGACAATCCCTTTTCTTGTTTTTACGTGTTTTTTCTATTTCATTTTCTTTGCTTCTAATTTTTTATAGTTTTATTAAGGGTGTGGTTTGTATGGAGCTGAGGCTCTAAACAATCAAACTAAAGCGCAACTTCAAATAGTGTCAAGAAATATAGTTTCAATGCTAAAAATCTTTGTGATAGCCTTAAAATATAATTTCATATATAATCATAAAATTTAAAGCCTCAAAAATAGTATAGATTGATCAGATCTAAGTAAACTTGAAAATCTTGAAAAGTGATGGTCCAAAAATACGTTACAAGAAGCACTATTTCCAAAACTTGAAATCTATTTTTTTCTCTCGTGTCCATGCGTCTTGATGTCAAGATGATCAATTTGAGGATATTTAGGCGTCAAAACCACCTTTTATAGTGAAAGTTTTGTGGGGGGCTCTAACTCTAATTTGATTGTTTATAGCCTCGGCTCCATATAAATTTTTTCTTTTTATTAATTGGTAGTAGATTACACCATCCGGTTGGAAGAACTTCAATTTTAGATAGGCAGGAAGAACTTCAATTTTAGGGAAAATTGCAGATACCCTTAACTTAGACTTTCTAGACAACATGCCCCAACCAATTTTTTTCCCACAAATTTTACCAGAAAACATACATTTCTAGCAAATACTCCCCAAGTAAAAAAAAAAAAGACAAAATTCCCTCCCCTTAGCTAAACACCTTTCTCCCAGCTTTCCCACTCACGAACTAATTTTTTAAAGGCGGTTTGGCATTTTATAAAGGCAGTCCGACACATTTTAAAGGCGGTCCTATACTTTTTAAAGGAGGTCCAATACTTTTTAAAGGCGGTCTGACACTTTTTAAAGGCGGTCTGACACTTTTTTCTCTTGGTCCGGCACTATGTTCGTGAGTCCGTGGCCCAACATAATTTCTTATGTACGGGGAGGGTATTTTTTTAAAAAAAAATAAGACTTTTTGATTTGGGGGTATCTACTATAGATGCTCATTTTGGGGGGAAAATTGTGAAACAAAACTTTGTTGGGGAAGATTGTCTATAAAACTCACTTTGGGGGTGCTTTTGTAATTTTTCATGAATTTTATCTAAGCGAAGGGGTTGCATGTGGGCCGGTGTGCCAGTCTTGAAGATTGTAGATGAAACATTGGGAGAAAAAGAAGCCATATGGCCAAAGATTTCAACCAAGCCCTCCTACTCCACCATGGATCCGTCCATCGGCCCTGGTGGGCCTGGCCGCCTTTCGATTATTTAGAGCTCGGCAAAGTTGATGGAGGAATACTTTCTTTTTCTAGAAAAGGCCTCCAGGACCTCATGATTGAACAAGATTCAAACTATTATGAAGCATACAAGATTCCATCCTCCCTTCTTTCTTATTACTCTCTAGTGTCCCTTAAGTTGACAAATTGTTTGCCTGAGCCCCCATCTGATTTGAAAGGTTTTCAATCACTCAAGACTCTGTCTCTGGTGAATGTTTTGCTTGATGATAGCTTGCTGGAGTCTTTAGTTTCTTGGGGTGGGCAGTTGAAATACCTAACATTGACAGATTGTGGTGGCCTATCTGTCATCCCAATTCACACCCCAAATCTTATTTATTTGTATTTAGTGGTTAATTCCGAAACACGAAATTGGATGGAAGCTCTAACTTGAAGAACCTATGCATGGATTACAAAGAATTTGAACAAGATAGTACTGAGGGAAATGATATTTCTGAGCAGAATATAAAAGATTGCAGAGCCAGTGACTTCTTAAAGGAGCTCTAAAATTGGAATCCATTCAATTGTCATTGACGCTGTCTATGTGGGTATGAGTTATTCTGTTTCTATTTTCCAATTCATTTAAGTTTTAACTGAGAAATCATGTTCTTGTCATGGACATTTTGTTCACAAGTTGCAAAGGTTTATTGTTCTGTGCAGAAATGGTTTAGTGGAGATGAACATGAGCGGCTCTCTGTCACATATATTTATCTGAGGACTTTAGATATATTCAGCATCAATTCGAGGGAAGCGGAGGAGGTTATGGGCTTTCTTTTTATGCCTGCTAAGAAGTTCTCCTTTCTTAGAAACATTATTCTATGGGTAAGCATGGGCGAGATTATTTTTTTTGGGTGACTTGGTGGGGGGCAAGATTATTTTTTGGGTGAGTCGGTGGGGGCAAGATTAATGTTTTTGGGTGAGTCGGTGGGGAGAAGGCCCCTACCCTTGGTAGGAATTGAACCTAGGACATTATATTGCAAATCGTCAAGCACTAACCAATTAAGCCGGGCTCTTTTCCTAAGCATTGGCAAGATTTGCACAGCAGTATTTTCCTTCACATTTTCATTCTCATTTCTTGGGTGGGGTTTTGTTGGATCACCAAACTCACCATATTCACATGAGGTCTCCTTCCAAAATCCATCTTAGAGACATATTCTGGATCAGAATATGATTTAAGGTGGATGATATTGACTGATGACTATCATGAATCTGAGAAAGGGAAATGATAAATTTTACGTTTTAGATTAGATAAGATTTAGCTTTATTTTTCATCAATTTAGACTGTTCATTTTAATTCTTCTAAACTAATCTATTTTTATATTATGGGTTCCATATTTTCTCCCTTTTTCATGATCCAAAATACATCTTTGACATGGATTTTGGAAAGAAACACTTCACCAAGAGTCTTTCCAATATTATTTGTTTCGGTTTTATTGTCATATTGTTTCTTGTTCTTTTTCTTTTTTGTCTCTCTAGCTAAGCAAAAGCAAACCCATGAATCAAATCAATAGATTTTACTGGAGGAAACTAATTTTGAATCTGAGACTTGGTTGAGTTGCCTCGAGAGTGGATGTCAAGTATCTTAGTGGTATCGAGGACGATGTGGAATTGATTGGCTTCGTGCTATCGAATGCAAACTGCTGGAAAAATTTGATATCAAGAACGAGTATGGACTGCACCAAAACAAACAGCTTTGGATTGCAAAGAAGTTTGCCTTCTTCCCCAGAGCCTCTTCTGCTGCCAAGATGTTCATCAATTGAGCTTAAAACAGTTTCATGCACTTTCTGGGAAAGGGGAAACTTTAGCTTTTGTCCAAGTTTATTAATTATTTGAAATACAGAATGATTATTTGCATATATAAATCACAGAATTTCGTAACACTGGTTCAGCTCTTTCTTTTGGTCGTTCTTTCTTTCTTTCTTTTTTTTGGTTGGGAAAGTGGTATGATATACTCAAGATTAGAATCTTACCTTGGTATGTTCTCTCTGTGAAGTTAATGTGAAGGAGTTTGGCTTGTAGAAACAAGTTTCATACATTTGTTGTGCTTTTTTTGAATGCTTATGCTTTCAATATCTCTCTTTATAAGAAAGCGAGCATGAAATAAGGCACAATCCTTCATCAGGTATGGTGGCTCTTCGATCCTTTTGGTGGACCAGCCATTTGAATTCATAACATTTAGGAGTATTATATATTTTGTATATACTAAGCAACATTTAAGGTGTGTTCATAGTAGTTAGAAGTCTTATATATTTTATTTTATAAGGGATTGTCCATGAAGAGACCATTTATTTTTTATACATGGAAGTCACAATCATTCTTATCCTTTAAATTTCAAAATCAGTAGTTGTAAGAGTGTCATTAAATAGATACAAAGTTCCAAAAGAAATAATTCTCAAACTTGGTGACCACCCTAATCCATTGTTATTAAAAACAAACTAGGCAAAAAAACTTGTTGAGGTTTTCTTTCGAAAGTTTCTCTCTTTCTCTCTCATTGACCAAAACATGTTAAGGTGTTCAAAATCTATTGAGATTTTGAATACCTAGGTTTTGGACTAGTGTTTTAAAATCCGATACTTTCTAATATGGATTGCCAATCTAGATGCGAATTGGTTGAGATTGAATCAGGTTTAAGATGGTATGGGTCCGGGTTTGGTTGCCCCCTAAAACCCGCTCCTGTTTTTTTTTTTTTTAATATTTATTTTTCATTTATTTATTTTTGGATCAAAAGCATATTGAAATTGATTATCGTTATATTTATGCTATTATTGAAAAGAATGAACTAACTATAAGTTATTTGTCATCTTCAGAAATGATTGCAGACCTTTTAACAAAGGGATTGAGTGCAGATAGTTTAAATCAAAGTGTGTCTACTTTTGTTGCTTTAACAAAGTACACCTATTAACTTGTAAAAGGTATAATAATTTATGAGAGAAAATAGCAACATATTGATATCAAAGGATTTCAGCTAATTTTACAACAATAAGATAAACCCAAACAATAGAACAATTATCTTAGAGATAATAACGAATAAATAATAAATTAACTCACGGCTTATAAAATCAACTATCTTAGAAATGACAAATTTCAACAGAGTAAAAAGAGAATTGTTAAAAAAAAATTAAGAGAGATATTGTTCAATAAAATACAAACTCACAGGAAACCAAATAATCGATTTCGATCTTGGGACCTGTGGGTTATGAGCCTACCACGCTTCTGGTAACCTGGCTTTGATACCAATGTTGTAATCTTGGGAGAAAAGATGGACCCACTCCCAGGATTAGGGTCAGTGTCGTGAGACTATCGATCGCAGAGACCAAGGTTTTACCAGAACTCTGTAAATTTATGTGTACCTATTAAAAAATAATTATCCTTCAATGAGTGAGGATACAATAGATGAACCTCGAAGCTACAGTGAAGTTATTAGCTCACATGACTCAACTGAGTGGACTCAAGCCATGAATGATGAACTTGATTCTATTAAAAGAAATCAAGTTTAGGAGTTAGTTGACCTCCCAAAAGATAGAAAAGTCATCGGTTGTAAATGGGTCCTAAAGAAAAAGCTTAATACAAATGGATCTATTGATAAATATAAAGCTAGGTTGGTAGTTAAAGGATTTACCCAAAGGAAGGGTATAGATTATATAGAGACTTATTCTTCTGTAGTAAAATTTTCATTTATTAGAATCATCCTAGCATTAGCTATATATTATGACCTAGAATTATTTCAGATGGATGTCAAAACAACTTTCTTAAATGGAGAAGTAAAAGAAGATATATATGTATGAAACAACCAGAAGGGTATGTAATTAAAGGCCAATAATAAAAAGTATATAAACTTAAGAAATCTTTATATGATCTAAAACAGTCTTCTAGACAATGGTACTTTATTTTTTATAATGTAATCACTGAAATTGGTTATATAGCCAATAGGTTAGACCATTGTGTATACGTCTGGAATAGCGGGAGCAATTTTGTTATATTGTCACTATATATGGATGATATTTTGATAGCCGGTAATGATAGTGGCATGATTAACCATACCAAATCATGGCTAAGTTCCCATTTTGAGATGAAAGATATGGGAGAAGCCTCATATGTATTGAGCATTAAGATAACAAGAGATAAAAGTTCAAGACTTACATGTTTATCTCAAGAAAATTATTTAGAAAGTGTTTTAAAGAGATTTAAGATGGAAAATTGCAAGCCCATAAATACACCTGTTTGTAAAGGCTTGAAATTATCAAAGAAAATGTGTCCATTAAATGATAGTGACAAAGCTGAAATGAAAAGAATTCCACATACTCAAGCTATTAGATGCCTAAATTATGCCATGTTGTAAACAAGACATGATTTGAGTCATGCATCTGGTCTTGTAAGTAGATTTCAGAGTAATATTGGGATGGCTCATTGGCAAGCTATAACAAGGATACTTAGATATATTCAGAAAACTAAAAATTACAAGTTGTCCTTTCAAGCTGATAACTTAGAAGTTATTGAGTACTCTGATGCAGATTTTGCAGGAGACCGAGATGATTGAAAATCAGCCTCAATAATTGTATTCCTCTTTGGAGGTGGATGTATTTCTTAGTCTCGTAAGAAACAAGGTTGTGTAGCTCAATATACTATGGAAGCCGAGTATATTGCTTGTAACATTGCTACAACTTATGCCGTCTGGATTAAACGCTTCATAAATGATTTGAAGCTAGATATAGCCGACGGACCTGTTAATTTTTTTTGTAATAATCAGGCTGCTATTTCATCAATTAGAAATGGAGCTTATAATTCCAAGGGTAAGCATATTGAAATTGGTTATTATTATATTTATGATATTATTGGAAAGAATGAAATAACTGTAAGTTATTTGCCATCTTCAAATATGATTGCAGACCCTTTAACAAAGGGATTGAGTGTAGAAATATTATCAAAGCATGTAGCTTTGATGGGACTTAAAAATATTTAAGTCAGGAACTCCCAAATGGGATATTTTTTTATGTCTTGGTCATGAGAGGAAAAATTGCATTAGCGTGAAAAACCATGACATGACTTTGGATATTTTTTGTTATGAGATGTATAACCACACTTGCGTGAAAAGCCTCATGACAAAAATATGCTCATAAATGTTAAATTCATTAAGTGGTAAATACTTTATGATATTTCAATATATCTGGCCCTCATGGCCAAGTGGGAGATGTTGGTACGTGTATGTGGCTATGGGGTTTTTTAACATGTAATATTTCTCTCTCTTATAATTTAACGCTTTTTCACTAAAATAGGTAGGCTTCTTAGAGAGAAAAAGTGTCGTTATCTAACGGCTAGAGAGTAACCACCTACTTCTCAAGATTACAGAGCCACGTTTTCTTAGAGATTTCAGGAATAAGCCAAACGTTGGAGAACGGCATCCTCTATCCCTCTTTAAGAAGGGTTTCATGGTCATGAAGAGGTACATATAAATTTACAGAGTTCTCATAGTTCTAGTAAAAGCCTGATCTCTGGAATCGATAGTCTCACGACACTGCCTCTAATCCTGAAAATGGGTCCATCTTTTCCCCCCAAAATTTCAACATAATTCGCATCCATCCAGGCCTAATCTAAATCACCGATCTAGGTATGTGATACAGTTCTATAGGTGAATAAGCAACCCCACCTATTTGGGTTTTGAAATACTGAATTGGACACAATGTTTGAACCTTGGCCATGATAGTTGCGGTGAACATCAGTTACCTCCCCAACAGTATTAGAGGCTTGTCTTTCTCGCTGAATTACCGACAAAAAAAAATAAAAATAAAAAATAAAAAACTCAAGATTCACTTTTATCAAATTCACACTTTTTCGTGCCCATTGACTTACTTGCATGTTTCAACCCTTGTGTGAGTACCAAAGGATGCCCTTTATCCAACATTCAAGAAAAAGGAAACTCATCTACAAAATGTATCTCTTGATACCAGAACACTTGAGTCTCTAATTTTGGGGAGTAGACCGCTGGAGAACCTGCATTGATTGTGATGGCCTTTCCCATATCAAAATTCATGCCCCAGGCCTTTTATCCCGAGAGTGTTTAAAGCGTGTTCCCACAAGAGCACACTGTACCCTTACTCCCTTTTATAAAAAAACCCACGTATGAGAATTTTATTGATGATAAACTGGCAAGGCAAGCAAAGAGCAATGCAAGTGGCAAAGTCTTGTCAAAGCCCAAAGGCTTTGACAAGACTTGGCCACCGGTGCAAAGCCCATTTAAATTTGGACAATGTCCATTCAATTGTAGGACGTTATTTTATCAAGGAAAAGTTTATATAGAGCCGAGGCTCTAAACGATCAAATTTGAGCCTACCTCAAAAATTTCATTACAAGATGTTGTTCGATGCCCAAATATCTTCAAATTGATCATCTTGACATCAAGATGCATAAACATGAGAAAAAATTGGATTTCAAATTTTGGAAATAGTACATTTTATAACGTATTTTTGGACTGCCAATTTTCAAGATTTTCAAGTTTTCATAGATTTGTCAATCTACACTATTTTTGAAGCTTTAAACTTTATAAATAAATATGAAAATATATTTTAAGATTATCACAAAGATTTTCAATAATGAAACCACATTTCTCGATACTATTTGAAGGCAGGCTCTAATTTGATTGTTTAGAGCCTAGGCTCTATACAAACCGCACCCTTTTATCAAGTCATATATATAGAGTTTGCTCGAGTTTTTATTTTTATTTTATTTTCCTATTTGAGGTTGGTCACTAGATTGAAGAGCTTACATACATAAAACTTAAGGTCCCACAAATAACTAGACAAGATTTTACTCGATTTAGTGCACGGTATGCTATGCGTAGGAGAAAAAATTTCGTTTTCCATGATATTGTTTCAAAAGGAAGTTCAAATCTAATGGAGCTAAATAATGAACTGCTAGATGAGAAACATGGTGATGAGCCCTCTAAACAAACATCCGGTTTATGAGGATCTTGTCGAGTTTATGTCGCATTTAAAGTCCTTATGAGTGTGTAATGAAAAACATTTATTATAGTGGAACATAAACTCAGTGGGAGTGTAGTATCTCGAAGACCATACTAAGCAAATGATATTTGCAGATACTGGCAGATAGTCGAAGAACGACCGTTTTCAAAAGTAGATTTAGACAAGGGTTTTAAATCTGGATCAACAAGGGTATGTCATCAGAGGAGAGCACAGCAACAATGGTTGGCAAAACAAAGAAAATTCAAATGTGAGGAGAAGGTCACAGTTTCCAGTTTGTCTCTTAAAATTTGAAAGACCTAGAGAAATATATAGCTCTAGCGAAACTACTCAAGGCTTAAACCATACCCGTGATGGCTAGTGATGGATCCACCACCGCTAAACTTTTTGTAGGACTAAAGAAAGATCGCTAAACTTTTATTAGGACTAAACAAAGGTGGTCACCAAAATAAAGATTGCTCCTTGCCCCTCGGACATAAAAAGGAAAAAATAGTAAAGTGAAGTCATGGACTTTTCGAAGAATTATTGAGTTGCTGAAAGTTGAGAAAGATAAAGAGATTAGAAAGAAAGAGATTAGAGATCAACAAGAGAAAGAGATGGATCAGAGTGCAAGGGAAGCTACGGATCAAAGAGCTGATCTAGAAATGGGGGAGATGTAGGAGAAAGAGATGATACCCACCGGGAGAGAGAAAGTTAAGGAGAGATTGAAATTTTAAAAGACCCACACACAATTTGCCTATTTTGAAAAATAGAAAGAGATAATTGGAGAGGAAAATACTCCGATTATTCTATTGGAAGGAAAATTTCCATTGGAAGGAAAATAAGAAAGAGGTTAACAAAATAAAAAAAATCTTAGAGAGAGCTAGATGAGAGAATAGTACGGTCCCTGAAGACCCCAAGAGCAAAACCCCAATATCCAATATATCGATAAGAAGGAGAATTAGAGAGAGAACAGGCATGGTTTTGAGAAACCCAGGTTTGAAATTAGGTTGATCTTGCATAAATCTTCCTGCAATTTGAGGCTTAGAGAAAGAAACTTGATCCTCTTTCTTAGCAGGCTCAGTCGAAGTACCTCTCCAAGCAACCACAAGAGAGAGAAAAGGATGAGAGAGAGGCGGCCGCTAAAATAGCGGAGTTGAGGTGTGCAGCCGAAGCTACCAAAGTTGCAGACAAAAACCATTAGATGACAGACTCATCGATTTCTTCAGATCAAAATGCCTAAAGCCAAAGATGCACGGCCTAGATTTGAGGTGTGCAGCTGAAGCTACCAAAGTTGCAGACAAAAACCAGTAGATAAAAGACTCATCGATTTCTTCAGATCAAAATGCCTAAAGCCAAAGATGCACGGCCTAGATTTGGAGCCAGGGCTTTTACAGGCAGTCAGATATAGAGATTTATCCAGTCGCAGAGGGAGGCAGAGGTGGATGCATAGTCGCAGAGGGAGGCAGAGGTGGATGCGCTGTTCAATTCGCAGGCGGCGCTTAGAGAGAGGGAAGAGGAGCTCACAAAGGGGTTGAGAGAGATGCAGGATGAGAAAGAAGCTCGAGCAACAGCTTCAGATTGTGTGCCCACAAACACTGATGTGCTCGAGGCATGGCTCAAGGAGAATGAGGACAAGACACTGATGTGCTCGAGACATGGCTCAAGGAGAATGAGGACAAGAAGGAGAAAGCAGGGGTTGTTGACATTGACGATGTCTTTGAGCCCATTGATGCATTGTCAAAGCAGATGTTCGAGTGCACAGCTGCAGATTTGGCTATTGAGGACGTTATTTAATCGCTTGATAAGGCTGTGCAAGAGGGTGCCATCCCTTTCGATCAATATTCGAAGAGCATTAGGGCTCTACCACGAGAGCAGTTCTTTCACAGAGCCGCTTCAGCAAAAGTTAGGCTGCACAGATGCAGGCGCAGGTCGCATGAATGGCTGCTAGGGTTGCTCCTCAGTATGCAGTTTGATTCGATTCTGCTCCACAATGAGAGAGGACATCCAAAGTGTAACTGTTTCCTATCTTTAGAGAGAGTTTCCTCTGTTGATCTTTGAGGAGGAGCTAGAGCGAACGGAACCGCACGCGTTGGATTGGGAGTACGATATGGGCTTGACGGCGTTAAGGAAATGCAGAGAGGCTGAAGAGAGAGGGGGGTTCGGAGAGGTTTTAGAGAGCGAGATAGTTGTAGATGGTTAGAGAGAGAAGATTTGGGGATTTTTAGAGAGAGAAAGATAGATGTTTATTAAATTTTCGAAACGTATATGAGCCAACCTCAGGGCAGACGCTTTTCCCGAGCTCAAATACGAGGTTGGTGAACTTAGATATGAGCAGAGAAGTCTATGGCTTTGATACTTGTAAGAAGCTCATGATACTGCAGAACTCTCTCTATTCAATAACAGTTCGGGATAGATACCAATGGTTATTGGTAATTACTAATCGTCTTTAGCCCAAATTTCATTTGAATCATTATTTAAAAATCGCTGGGTCTCAACTAAATTACATTTGAATAAGGGTTTAAAAAAACTCCGGGTTAGATCAGTATCGCCCTATCCAAAGTGGGGTGGGTTTCTTAAATATATCGGCAACTAGCCTAACCTCTCCTACGATTTCTGGTTCTTTTCAAAGAACCAGTGATCCATTGTACGCTGACCAAGTGGAGTCATCCAGTCTTGCTTTTCATGGTAAAAATAAAGTGTGTGGTTTCTATAAGGTTGCAACCTTAAACAATCCAAATAAGACAGTACATCTAAATATGTAATTTTGGTAAAAAAATTCATAAGATATTTTAAATATCTATTTTCATATCTAATTATAAAATTTTAAATTTAAAAAATTGTTAAAATCAAGTAGATCTATAAACATATGAAAATCTTGAAAATGGATAGTCTAGATAATGTTTTGTAAAATACACTATTTTAGGATTCAAATTTTTTTTTTTTTTTTCATACATTTCATCGACATCGAGATGATCAATTAGAGGGTTTTTCAACATTAAAACGACATTTTTTGATAGATTTTTGAAGTGCATCTTTAATTCTATATTTTAAGGCTGCAATCTTATATAAACTCTTTCCAAAAATAAATTTTTTGGAGTGTTTCCTTTTCCAAGTTTTTGAATAATAAATCAATGGAATTATTGATATGAGGGCTAAAAGATGCCCCTGGTTGAATGTCAAAACCATCCAGATAATTTTTCATTGGATTTCTCACCAAAAAATTACAATTTTTGGCTGCAATTTTAGGTTTTTATTTGCTATTATATGATAAATCCAACGAACAACACCATTCACCTTCATCTTTCAACCAAATTTTCTTGTATTTGGCTCTAAATGATTGTGACCAAGTCTTATGCGGATCTAAGAAATGGGTGGAAAACACCCAAAATATTTTGAGCCAGATCCACGAAAAAATGGGCAGTCGAATTGAAGCAAAAATCTTGAAGATTATGAACAACCATTAAAAAACTTTATTTGTATTTTTTTATTTTGAAGTTTTTTGCTCGAATTTAAGGTTTCGAATAATATGAGGGTGTCCAAACTGTTGATTTCTATGTCATTTTTTAAATTAAATTTGTTCAAATTTTGTTCAAAGGAATTCTCATTTATCCATTTACATTATTATCGATGCAATTTAGTGGAAGCAATCTAATTGTTGTATAGATCTTGGCCCAAAATTGAGTGGCACCGTGTTGGGCCAAACCAACTCTGGTGTGTCCCAAAACGGCAAACCCTGCAGTTAATAAAAAAAAATTCGTAATAATATATAAATTTTTAATTAGAAGAAGGAAAATTATTTCATGTGGGCTAGACCACATTTCTACAATATGTAATCCAGAGGTATAAATCACACATCTTAAAGATGGATACAAATGGGTAGTCCATCTTAAAACAAGTGTGACTAACCATCCAAATGTTTTCTTAATATAATTATTATTTCTAGTTTTCAAGATATTATTTTTTCATATTCATGATCTCCATAAAAACCAAGTGTGACTAACTGTCTTATTAAATGTTTTCTTAATATACTTATTATTTCTAGTTTTCAAATTATTATTTTTTCATATTCATGATCTCCATAAAAAATTAGGATCAAATTGTATTTAAAAAATATATTTATTGCCAAGCCCGCATTTCTACACTATGCGGGCTGGCACCATAGAAACCGTATCCATAGAAAAATAGGACAAAAAAAAAAAAAAGAGAAATATATAAAAAATGTTATAAGGACAACTTTGCAAACTGTGCACTGTGAGTACACTTATCAGCCGATTTTTAGAACAAATCCCCGATTAGTGCACTAAAAAAAATTCCTGCATACATGACCGTTGGAATCGGGCCAGATCAGGATCGGCCAGTGACTGTTCCTGAGTTAATCGGCCAATTTTTAGAACAAATCCCCGATTAGTATCGATTGGTGCACTGAAAAAAAATCATGCATACATGACCGTTGGAATCGGGCTCGATCGGGATCGGCCAATGACCGTTCCTGAGTTAATCGGCTGATTTTTTTAAAATTAGCCGATCTTTTAATCACTGTGCCTTTTTTTGACAGTCAATTTTCAAGATTTTCAAGTTTTCATAGATCTTCTTGATGTACACTATTTTTTAGGCTTTAAATTTTATAATTGGAGATGAAAATATACTTTAAGGCTATTACAAAGATTTTCAATGTTGAAACCACATTTCTCAATACTATTTCAAGGTGGGTTCTACTTTGATTGTTTAGAGCCTCCGTTCTATTCAAACCGTACCTTTATTTTATTGGGTAGTGACAACAATTTTCAAAAACCATGTTAGGGCTATTTGTTTGATCTAAATTTTAAAATATACATTATTTTTATTCTAATGAACAATAAAAAAAAAAAAAAACGCTACCTAGAAAGTATGTTTTTAGCCCAATTAACATAGACTGTCTATTTTGGTGAGATACTTAGATCTAGACCATAAAATTCCAAAATTTTAGATAACTTATAATAATTAGATTAACAATATTTAAAAAGAAAAAAATAATTTTGAATTTACAAAGGCCTAGATCTTGCAATTCATCAATAGACGGTCTAGATTCATTGTTGAAAAGGACTCAATTTGAACATAAGTAAGGTGTAAATTAGTTTTGTTTTTAGATTGATTATTTAGATGAAGAGAGAGTGTGCAAAATTTTAGGTCATACAAAAACCACAAAGATGATTTTTTTTAAAAGTGTGAATGCATTATACTATAATACAATCAATGCATGATATCACTACCCTATTTTATTAGTCGCTTGGTATATATACCTTGTATTATATACAGGAAAAAAAATGTATGCCCCTCTCTTGCAAAAATTCGAATTAGATCCTCATATCCGTATAAAACTCATGGGCCCCTCAAATTTTTAGAAATAGGACATGGACTTACCTTTCCACAATTTTCCCCTTTACCTATGGGATCATTTTCTTTTACTCAAGGACACTTCCTTCGCCTGGCCCCCATTTTTCTCATTTCCTACACACATTTTACCCATTTCCCATTTCTCTTTCTGTCTCTCATGCTCTGACACTCTTTACTTGTCTTAGAAAGATAACAATGTGGTAAGAAAGTGAAGATCTCTTACAAGTTGTTAAAGCTGGGCCATCCTAAGAATTTTCGACTCCAAAATTTTATTTTACGACAAAATTTGGAGGCCAGGTGGTGGAATTTTCTTTCTCTGTCTACATTTCTTGAAAACCTCTCTTTCTCTTCTGTTTTCTTGGCCTGCGAAACTAACAGTTTAGTTTGCCTTCTCTACGTTAAATGCTATTGGGTTGCCTTCTCTCTCTATCTCTCCTCTACTGAGAAGTGAGAACTCTTTTTCTAACTCTCTTTATGGGTTGCGCCAGTTTCTTGGTTTCTCTCTATATTTCCTTCCTGAAAACCACTTTGATTTGCCTTCTATCTCTTGTCCAGAAACTATTTTCGATCTTTAAACAGGTACAATGATTTCTTGTTCTTTCTCTAGAAAACTTTGACCTCGTTGTGTGTTTTCTTTTTCTCTAACTCTAGAGAAATTAGAGGATGTGCAGCCTTTTTTGTTCTCTCTCTATAGAAAATTTAGAGGTGTTATGTGATTCAGTGTTGGCAAATTTGAACCGGCACCGTTAATCGGAGATGGGGCTGGAAGCGGTTTAACCGGCCTAACCAGTAAATTGGTAGATATAATTGTTCTAATCGAGGAAGTCCCAGGAGGGTCAAAAAATTGTTGGAAAAAATAAAAAAGATACAAAAAAATCTACTAAAGTATGAAAACCATCTAAATAACGATTAAAACAAAATACCTTCAAATGAAGTTGAAAATTAATGAAAAAATAGATTTTAAAGATGCCTAAGGGTATTTTTAATATTTTTTTTTAAAAAAGGGAAAATATAAAAGTAAATATTAATGATCAAAGCAATATCTAATCTTTATTATAATGTAAAGAATATTACAAAAAATGTATTACAAATCAAATTCCTTATTTTTGGGATTTTATATATATTTTTATTTCTTTTTAAATACCTGTTGATCACCTGAACCACAAAATCGGAACCGACCACTAGTCGGTTCCGATCTAACTGGGCGGTTACTGGTTAGATCGCCTGGATTTTCTAACTTGGCTGTGGTTTCTTTTGCTCCTTTCAGAAAATTTGCTGGTCTGTGTTTCTCTGTAGATCTCTTTCTTGTACTCTTTCTCTCTCATTGTGATGGATGTTGCTTGTTGGAAGTGCAGGTGCGTTTCGTTGATGAAGGGCTGAGAGGGACATGGCACCTTGCAGAGATCTTGGATTATACACAA